TTGTGACAATGTTGCACTTCTTTTCCAGACTGCTTCATACCCACCAGTTTTTGCCATGTTGAAGATGGTCTCGTTTACGTCGTAATCCCTTGAAATTGGTTCAGAAAAACAATGGATCTGCAGTCAGTATATCAAATTAAGGACATTTCGCAATTTTTTTCATGAAATTTTCATGTAGAGCGCGGTTGACACTCTAATAATTTTTAAATCCCACTCATAAAGTATTATACTATGGATTTTTGTTTATATCAATTCAAAAGCTCCGCTCACATAAAAATAGACGTCTACTCGCGTCAAATAAGTATCGAGGTTCATTCCATATCGTATCAACTTATTAATATGAAATGGAGAAAAAAATGGGGGAAAAACGGGAAACAAGGCTATAAATAAAACACTAAAAACATAAGACGTTTCGACTCAAATCTAGTCATTTTCAGTCAGAAAACAAATTAAAAACTTATTATAATATCATTTTTTTCATCATCATTATACTTCATTTCATTCATCCTTTATCGTCATTATTATATCATCGTATCAACGAATTTATAATGGAATAATCAATTTTTTCTGTATCTTAAATTTTCCTCAGGAGGAGACAAGAATTATGAATTTAAACACGTATCATTTGCTGAATGGATGATATTGTATTCAATGTCCGATTTGATCTGCGTTGATTTTTTTCCCCCGAGCAGGAAGTTTAAATTCACAATTTTGCACTTAGAGATCAACACTGGAAAAAAAAACACATTGGATCTAGAGTCCAGACTCTTAAAAACATCGACAAGAAAAAGTACTCTTGATTCAATCAGAATCCAGCTTAAATCAAGAACCAAACCTCTTAATTTAAGCGGATTTCGTTTTGATTCAACCAAAAATCCGATTGAATCAAGAGTATTTTTTCTTGTCAATGTTTTCAAGAGTCTGGACTCTAGATCCAATGTGTTTTTTTTCCAGTGAAGTTAAGAAATATTCGACGTTTTCAGCTCGCTTTTTGTACATTTTTGATGAAGAGACATGTCTTGAAGAGGTTCAATTCTTACTCTGTCTAGCGGTCCATTGATGAATAGAGGATGACGACGGTGATAGAGGAGAGGAGTGTTGAGTGTTGACGGTCGGAGAGCAAAGACAAGGGGCAAAGACGTCTTTGAGCGTCGTCGTTGCTTCGTCGATAGCGAGAGTGATGTAACTGGCGACGCCAACGAGGCAACAAACGGAGCAGCCGCAAGGAGGTCAGTGATAACCTTGCCCCGGCCCCGACAATCAACAGTAAACAGCATCGTCCATCGCTCGCAACAATGTGCATAGGTCTCCACATGCGCTTTTAATCAGAGCCACAGAACCGCATAATGGAAATATTCTCATCGATCCATGTGCCGATTATCAAAATGCATGTTTCATCCTCTAATATTCATCTCGATCAGCTATGTAATCGATCGTTTGACAAGGTGCCACCCGGGGCCGAATTTTGTTGGTCCTTTCATTGGTGCATAAATAAACTCAGAACGAGTCTCGACTGCACGTAAGTCTGGCTTAGCGCTTTTGATTGGCCGGTGGTGCAGTTTGGGCTCATTGATGGATGTTGCATTTCCATGTGAATGTTCCGGCAAAATTCGGCTCCATGGACCAAATTTTGTGGAGAAAATGGGCGTAATTTACCCAGGCTTCTGATTGGCCGGCGATGCAATTTTTACTTATCTACGTTTGTTCTATTTTAGAGAGCCAACAACTGCACTGCCGCGCTGAGGAAAAACGCCGTATGAACCTCCAGGGGTTGCCAAATGTCCTTCGATAAAACACGAATTTCTTGGTAAAATTATGAACACCCTTCTTCTTAGCGCAGAAAACATGTAAAGACTGGAATATCCAGAGCCAACCAAAGGTATATAGGTTATTTGGACCGAGTTCATCACAAAGGAACCGACCCACAGTAGGGTTGAAACTGAGAAAAAGAGGTTTGAAGTTTTATTCCTGCATAAGGCTCAATGTAGAAAATAAACTTTAACCCCTCTTTTCACAAACTAAGTGATGTTTTTCGACTTCCAGTTTTTGGCAGAAGAAAATCCACGCGGATACTGGAACTCAAAAACATTCTTAACTCAATTTTTTTGAAAATGTGGGTTGGTTCCTTTCCGACAAACTCGGTCCCTTTTGTGTTTTACTTCCCGTAACCATTTGGTGTTGAGTTTTCTCTCCGCGTAGAGGATGTGCTTTGAGGGCCTCATCGATGTTCATCGATTGAGTAAAAAATTTAGGAATCGGTTCAGCGTTTGAAGTCTCCACCAATGCGGCTAGTTAGTGATTACGGCTTGCTCCACCACAAATTCCGACAACAGCGGTCAATATCGACAGCAGGGCATCGCGTGAGCTCTTGACAATCGGACGTATTTCTGTCAAATAGAACTATATGCATTACGGCGTGAGTCCTGTTATGCCTATATTCTTATGGGTCTCGGGGCTCATTTCTTGTTGCGCATAGTCCCGTTTGGCAGAAATGCGTCCAACTGCTCATCTCCGGGTAGCTAGATTCTCAGCACGATCCTAACAAGCTAGCTGTCGCTCATCCCGCCATTGATGCCTCCGACTCGTCTCCCGAACGCCACTCTGCATGCTGATTTCTAATGATTGCACCTCGCTGGAAACTTGGCAATCGAATTGTTATTATTGATATTCTGTGTCATTCTTCAGCACGAGCGAGAAGCGTTCGGAGTTTAGTGCCTCATCAGGGTGCACTAGTCACTAGCCGAAATAATTATCTCAGCTCAACTTTCATTCATGGTTTTGCAGAGGAGGTCTTATTTTATAACTGGAGACTTTAACGCCAGGTTAGGAATAAGTCAGGACGGTACGCGACCAATACAACTATATTACAGATAGACAGTTAGTTGGTTAATTTTATAAGACATTTAGCATCTTGGGCTATCAATCTTCTCTAGGCCTTTTTTGATTTCTTTGTTGAGATTGTGCAATTTTTATATGAATTCTGCAATAACCGTAGCGTTGAAACTACGTTTTCACCGAATTTGATTTCCACGCGTTCTACTAGAAATTTATATGTATTATAACTAGGATAACATTAAGGTCAACATGTAACACTCATAAAGAAAACACATGAAAAACACACTTTTTTTCTTTTTTTTCTTTCTTTTTTTCTTTACACACATGTGGTGTTTAGGTTAACATGTAAGGTCGCGCGGTCAGACATACTTGGTTCGAGTTTCACAGAAACGCACCAAGTTACCAAGTTGCATTTCGGTGAAAAAATGAGTTGAGAGGAGTTTTGAATTCAACTAATTTCTAATTTTCTCCTGTTTTGACACATTTCACTCCTATTTTGAATGCAAACAGTCTGTAAAAGCTTCAAACCTCTTTTTCTTGGTTAAAACTTGTTGCGACTTGGAGCATTTTGTTAAGTCGGTCCATATTCCCTTGGCTAGACTTTTTCTCTCCCTTAAGAAAGAATCTGCTCCAATTGACAGTCAAATATTCAGCAGCATATTATACATGCAAAGTTGCAATAGCAACTATTTGTAAAGGATTAATGTCAACTCACAACGGCGCGCCAGGTGCATTGCTGTAGGAGCAACGAAGCAAAGACACCTGCATGTCTAATCTAAGCTCTTGTGTTTCCACTCACCCCTCATACTTTCTGTAAATACACTGAGGTGATTCGTCAAGCTCTCTGAGTGGTCTAACCGGCATGAGATATATAGCATGCCAGTTTTGACCACGCCAGAAAGCTTGACGAATCACCTTAATGACCTGAGATGCTGAATGTCTGTAATAAAATACACGAACTAACTATCTATACGAAATAAAGGTTTACTAAGGCGTTATTTGGTCGCGTACCGTCCGTTGATTTTGTTCCTAACTTGGCGTTAAAGTCTCCACTCATTCCAATACAAAATCAAAACGCCTTCATTTCCACCAGTATGCAATGCGGACATCCGTTGAGGCTGAACTGTAGTATTAATATTTGATGATCTGTGCGCTTAAACCATCAAAATGCGATTCTGAGACCAGCGTAATTGACCGATTAATATTTTTGCAGTAGTCTGAAGAACCAAGAACCTCATTTTCAGATCTCAGAATGTGCTATAGACGCATTGGCACCAACTGGAGGGTGTTTTTTTACAGTCACTTTATGTTTTATGTCATAAATACAAGTGACACACCAGCACACAGAGCAATATTGCTACCGACGATGCTCCTGTTTGGAAAAAACCTTCGATACAGAAATCGATTTCTGTATCAAATGCAAGGTTTTTTTCCAAACATGATTCTGCTTTCATTTCCCCACAGTTTTCCAGTGTTTTGGTTTAGAGTGCTTTTCTAGGCTCAAGCGCAGGGGCTATCCCTTTTTATTTTGGCTAAAAATTCAAAATATGCCGAGATTTATGATCTACTCGATGTGATAATCTCATGCCAGTTCGACCATGCACGTCAGAAAGCTTGACCAATCACTTCAATAGCCTGAGATGCAGAATGTCTCTGATAAAATTAACTAACTAACTATCTATCTATACGAAATATAGTTGTACTAACGCGTTATTTGGTCGCACACCTCCCGCTGACTTTTTCCTAACTTGGCGTTAAAGTCTCCACTCATTTTAACACAAGCATACCTCATTCTCAAATCCCAGAATGCGCTATAGAAGCATTGGCACCACCTGGAAGGTGGCTTTCTCCAGCCACTTTATGTTTCATATCACACATACAAGTGACACACCGGACAGAGCAATATTGCTACCGTCGATCCGTAATTAAGATCATTGTCAATTTTGACGGCGTGCGGGCGTTTACGGCCGTGGCAATTAATTGATAGCGTCTAATTACGATCGAATCTATTTGGTAGTTTCCCACGTTGATTGTCGCGGGAGCCAGCGTCGCGCCGCCCGACGCTACGCATTACGCATCCCGGGATGGGCTAAGGGCGCGCGCTCCGGCCGATAAGGCTTCGTACGTGATTCAGATCGCGTTACAATAATCCCGACTCGTCTTGCCTTTTTCCAGCGCTTCACAGCCATTTCAAATTGCAGTATATAAGCGCGACTTAAGCAAAATCTCAGCAATTTTTCGTAGCTCACCAGTGTTCGTCGTTGACCGTTGCTCGCGAGTGACCATGTTCGTGAAGGTATACTCTTGGACTTTTCTCCACTTTTCTCGTTTTCTCGATCTTTGGGATTCTCTGCGATTTCGGAAAGTGTAGCGTTCGGAAGTTCGAATGGACGTCTCTGGAAAAACGAGTGATACTTGTGTTGTGTACAGTGATCGATGTGATAACGCCACGGAACGATTAACTGTGTTTAGTGACTGTGTGTACCCTTTGAGGATTGGACCTGTGTTTATAATTCTACATACCTACTGACAAGCCCTGTGGAATACCGCTATAGGATGCATCTGTGATTTCATTTGCTGTATACCGACTCTACAAGTGCCACTCATTTACTGACTGACCCTTCTCATCGAATTTCATGAACGTTGACCAAATCCAATCATATATGAAAGTTTCGTATAATCTCCGCATTCTCGACATGATTTATAGATGCATTACATTTTGCAACAAGCGAGCATTATTTCTGGCTTATTTTAGAAACTACATACATGCCATTGATTTCCCCATGAAGATATGTGCTTTTATGGGAAAGTCAGAGATAGTGGCTCCTTATTGCAAAATGTAATCCAGATGTTCTAGGTTGGTGCATACTTGGAAGCCATGTCAAATGCTGTAAGTAGGATAGAGGGAGGCAAAAATTACGCAATAATACACGAGAAAAGAGCTCACGGGAAAGCTTCCACGTGATTTGTTGAATTGGTGAAAAAGTTACGATTGGTGTCTTTCAGCGGCTGACTTTATGGACATTAAACACCATTATTTAACTAAATCCTAATACGAAACACTGTTAATTCGATATTCAATGACTCGGGGATTCTAATATGGAATGCAAAACTTTGTACCAGAAATATTCAGAGGACAAAATGTGATGGACAGCAACGTTAGAGCAGCAACAATCTTAGACTTTCATAACCTGAATAATCTCTTGTGTACAGGGTTTGAATTAAGCTTCTTGTCACACGTTTCCCAGCTAATTGTTGTGCCTTTTCATACAAAAATACATTCAATCATCACTTACGGTATAGAAAAGGGTTGTATCAGCTTTGCTTAGTTTATAGAAAAATTCCCCGACATTATTTTCGGACTCACTTGCGACGTGACGAATGAATGAGAATTTGAAGTGAAATTGAAAAGGAGTTGGTGTATTGCAAAAAATCAATAGAAATTAATTACCTGTTTTGAAATATTAAATGATTGAGCCATGGCGAAAGTGTAAATTTCCAACGCAATGAGCAAGCCTTTTCTTCCTTGTCATTTCCTCTCTTGTCCATTGACTACAGCGTGATTTAGTAGTCTTATTTCGTTTCTACTTGCTAACACCAAAATCGCAGAAATTCCAAAAGACGATTTACTAGTATTCAATTTTTCCTCCTCACAGGATGACTCTTTCCATTTATGTGCAAATAGTAAACCCTTTTCTTCTTCCCCCCCCCCAAAAAAAGGAATATAAAATAAAACCGTGATGTAACTTTCCTAAAATACACTATTGCATGATGAATTTTGATTTTGCTTGGTTTTAAAAACACTGTAGGACAAAATCTCAGAAGAGAGAGGCTTTTTTATTTTTATGATAATGTTGTTTTTAATTTTCCTCCATGGAAAATCGAATGAGCCTAGTTTTTTGTAGTAATTCCCAGAAGCATCGTCACTGAACTATCATTGAGAACAGAACTAAAATGCCCTGATTTTCCGAGATTAATGAGCTTGAATGACTTCCTGTCCTCTTGAGAGTATCGTATGCTTTCAAATCTCTCTCTTTGAAAAAAAATAGGATTGTTTACCTTTTCATAGTAAGGGTACAGTGTACACCCTCTATTTACTGCATGTCACAGATTCTTTAAAGTACAACCATCCCTTTAATCAAAATTATCCTTTCAACCAGAAATGTAGAATCTAAGGCATTTTTGCCCTTTCTCTTTCTATATTTTTCTCCTGAAGCATCTTCCCTCAGTAAAGCTAGCGCTCTAATGCTCAATGCTTTTCACTTATGTATGACGATCCAATGCTGTATCTTCAGTTCGTTGATCAATCGATCATTGAAATTCATTATCGGATGGATTCATCCAGAATCAACCCAACTACATGAGACATTGCCTATAATTATTTTATCTCATGCTTTTAACCGAATACTGATGAAAATTCTGACTTAAAATTCCATGTGTATAATCCCTGAATGCGAGGAAAGTTCTAAGAAATGATTAAAGTTTTGTTTCTTTATTGAAAATAATAAAACTGAAGAAGAAATAAAATTGCACGGAATGCAGTCGGGTTGATTCTGGTTTAATTTGTCCAATTGATCGATCGAGCAATTGATGTACCGCTTATCTAAAATCTGGCGAAAGGTGCAAAACTTTGAGTCACTCCTCAATAACCTCCTCGTTGGTGAATTTTCTCTGAGGGTTAACGCTTTTCATTTGGCCCACTTTCACTTTGCATTGCACCAGGAGACAAAGCATTTTAGAGACCCCGCTCTGCTATCTTCTCTACAGTGTAAACGTTAGTTTCGGAAATCAACGTTCAAATTTACCTTATGATGATTGATGGCCAATGAGTTGAGCAATTTGCCTAGTGATCACAACCTAAGTTGCAAAAACTCGCCCAGCGTAATGCTCATTCCGACATTTGTCATTCATCATTAGCTGAATTTTATTTGAGTTATAATAACGTTGAATTTCGGACATAACTTTTGCCTCCTTCGATTACACCCGTTAGATTGTTAGTGTGGGGTCTCTAAAACATGTTGTCTCTGATCGCACCCGCCTTTATTTTGCAGATAGTCCTGATCTCAGCCCTGGCGGCCGTCACGCACGCCGTCACGCCTGCCTACGTCGCCTCCCCTTACGCCTACGGCGTAGGCCCCACGGCTGCGCCCATCGTAGCCGCCCCCGTAGCCGCCAGCTACTCCTACCCGGTCGCCTACACCGCACCCAAGGTCGTCGCCCCCGCCCCCGCCTACTCCTACGCCCCCGCAGTCGCCTACTCCGCCGCCGTCCCCGCCGTCAAGACATACGCCCCCGCAGTCTCCTACGCTGCTGCCGCCCCTGCAGTCTCTTACGCCGCTGTCGCCCCCGCAGTCAAGACCTACGTCCCGGTAGCCCACGAGGAGATCGACCCGAACCCATCCTACACGTTCAGCTACGGCGTGTCGGACCCCCACACCGGCGACCAAAAATCCGCCTCCGAGTCCTTGGTCAACGGCGTCGTCGAGGGACACTACAGTCTGACGGAACCCGACGGCTCGGTGAGGACTGTCAAGTACGTAGCCGACAAGATCAACGGATTCAACGCTGTCGTCGAGAAGACCCACGCTAAGGTGGCCGTCGTCAAGCCAGTGGTGCCGTCCTACCAAGTCCACGCCCCTGTCGTAGCCCACGCCCCCGTCGTAGCCCACGCACCAGTTGTAGCCCACGCCCCCGTTGTGAGCTACGCTTCGCCTTACTCGTATCTGAAGAAACGGGCCACCCCAGTCAGCTCTTAGGCCATGTGAATCTCATTGTAAATTTGTAGGTAGGATAGGGTTACAATTTCTAATTTATTCGTTGTTTAGGAATGTACTGAATTAAAGTATTTTTTTAATTAAATGCTGTTGCTAAATTCTCATTTGTTTTATAAACCTTGTCAGTGGTGCAATCCTCTTCTTTTTTTATTTGGTGGAATGCACGGTTATTTTAAAGTACCCAGTACCTATATTTACCTCCAAAAATTACAGCTCAAGTGAGATGTCTTAGGTTTTCTTCACCTGATTTTCTCTCGCAAATGAATAAATATCTCGATCAAGGTGTTTCAGCTGCTTTAAAAACTACCATCCCTCTTACTCGTGATCATAAGTGGACATATCAGTGAAATGAAACTGTGTGACGATTGTGCAAAATATTTTTTTAAAAAATTTGGATCAGACTGCATGATTATTTTGTATAATGATAGGAAAAAAAATAACTGAATTTTAGATTCAGGTCCCTCATGCATATTTTTTTGCACACAAATCAAAGTGATTAAAACAACCCTGTATTAAACCCAAATACATGATTATTCTCCTCAACCATCAATAAGATCGACTAGATCGATAAAATTACGTTTGTAATACGCCTGATACTCATTATCCGATTAGGAGTTCCCTTAAAAAAAGAATAATAACTGGTAACGACTGTTGCTTTTCCTTTCGAATTAATGATACGTCACCATAACTTTATATGATTCAGAGGTTTTTATTTAGAAGTATAACAAATTACGATTAGCCCAACAATGCAATTTTTGTACACGTTGCGTTTTAAGTAAATATCAGTATCAGCCAGTCTTAAAATAGATGTAAGTATAGGTACTAACTGGTCTGACTCTTTCAAGCCAATCGGCACGTTTCACAGTTAGCCTTCAATGCCATTTTCGTACTCCATTCCTTGGGTGTATAGCTTATTGCGTAGCGTCTGATTGAAGGCGAAACGTGGTCGCATCCTATCATAGGAATTATTATTGCGGAATGAACTCTCCTCCTCTCCTTTTTCATCGACAATGGACTGGTTTTCCTTGTCAACCAATAATTTTGCTGCAACTATGATGGACATTTGTCTGCAGATAAGAACTTCATTGATCAACCATCAACCGCGTAAAATCACGCAGGGTTTCCCCAAATGGACGTATTTCTGCCAAATGGAACTATGCGCATTAAGACATGAGCCTTAAGACCCATAAGAACGTATGAATATCAGGGCTCACGTCATGATGCACATAGTTCCGTTTGGCAGAAATGCATCCAAATATTCAACCTTAGGTTCCATTATCGCGTATAAAAGCATTTACTCCCTTAATAATCATTTTTGTCCATTTCAGCCAATATTTCATGATATCTTGAATTTTTTTATTTCCTGGAAATTAAAAAAAAAGTGTATTCGTCCGAACCCCTCTTATTAAGTAACGGTGCCATCCTTTTCAGAGTTTCCACTTATTGCTTTTTTGCGAAGAAAAAATAAAATTTTTAAAAGCATTCAAGTGATATACTTCAATCAGACGAATTTATGGTGAACAAGACTATGCGGAAATGAATTAAATCAAAAGGTACTATGGCATAGGATTTACATGCTACACATATGTACTTCCTCTCGATTTAATTCATTTACTTTTAACTTAATTTAGCATAAAAATGTCTACTTGTTAAAATAGCTTAACATGAGCTTTATACTATCCAAAAAGCGTAGACGAGCAAATTCTGAAAATGCTGTCACAAAGAATCGACATGTTTAAATCTTTTTCGCATCGTCACGTCACAGTAAAATCTTCATAAACAAGTCAGGGAAAATGTTCTCCAATTTTTTTAACCATAGATTTTCCTCATGAGACTATTTAGAGAATGGAGGAATTCCCTGCTGTCATATATCTTAAGCGGAGATATCTCTTTTCTGATCAGGACACGGCAATTGTAATTACGATCAGTAATCTGCAAGCAATGCCATATTAAAGCTCCTAAACGTGTTATTCACTTTAGTCTACCTCGTCTCCGATATTCTTAATCCAACATTCCAAATATTTTGCCTACTGCTCACTCAAAATTTTTCTCGAGCTCTGCAATCTTGTAATTAGTCGAGTAATTGATAGGATAATTGGACTTCCTTTGTCAACGACACTTCTAAAGGGAAGAATGAAAAACTGGCTGATTTGACATTTCCAATCGTGAGAAGTGCCGAAGCGAAGGATGTTCATTTGAAGGGGTGGTATGTGAAAATTTAAGACATTACAACTGATATTTTCCTCTCACGCTTCTTCTTTTGTGTGACAATTAACAATGAAATATTAAAAACATTTAAGTCGATGAGTGGAGGTAAGAAACAAATACATCAAGGACTTACAAATGAATGTCTAACGATAACTTCCTCTATCGGTATTGGAGGGTGAACATCTTACGCGATGCTTCCTTCTTGTCACCGTAGGCTCATGAGTAAAGGTTCGCAAATATCTACGCATTTAATTTCATATACTCATGTTTTGCTTTAATATTCAGCCTTGCGACGGGATATGGATGAATAATTTAATTAAATCCAAGTTAATTTGAAAATATTCCTACATTTTATAGAATATTTTTCATTATTATCAAAATTGTCAATGCTACAATGGCCATTTGAATTAGATCGTAAAGGGTCATCGTAGGTAGCATCGGATAAGAGAGTAGAATTGCATCACGTTCGATTTTGAAACAGTAGTAAAAAACAAAACAAAAACAACAACCAAAACATAGATTGGAAGGGGGGGGGGGTTCCGCTAAGAGCGAAAATTGGTTCCACTCTGAATCGCTGAGACTCCAGCGTTTTTTGACAGAAGAAGGTCTGTATTAGGTGAAAATTATTGGTTTCAGCCGATCATCTAATCACTTCAGTAAGATATATTGCCGTGCTGTTAATATAAACCCGAAAGATGGAACGGGTCACTAGACATGATACAAACTAAAGCCCTTCGTTACATGCATTCTCTTCAAAATAGGATGTAAATTCTGATTCTACCAACGAGAAGGATTAAAGTCCGCCCCTTAAGAAGATATTAGTATAATTGGACCAAGTTTGTCAGAAAGGAATCAACCCACATTAAGTTGAAACCGAGAAAAAGAGGTTTGAAGTTTTATTCGCGCATAAGACGCAATGTAGAAAATAAACTTTAACCCCTTTTTTCACAAACTAATTTTTTTTCGACTTTCCGTTTTTGGCAGGAGGAAAAAACCAACTAGTGGAACTCAAAATCATTCTTAACTCAATTTTTTTAAAAAATGTGGGTTCGTTCCTTTCTGATGAAATCGGTCCAATTGACCTAGGGTAAGTGTCAAAAATACAAATGACGTAATCTGTATGATTTGTGTTCCATTCGATTAGCGCTAATTTCACATGTTAGGAGTTACAACTTTCTGTTTCTTGTTTAGCTTTCTAAGTAAACGTTTTATATAGGAAGCTTTTAACGTTGTGTTCTAAATTATACTGTCAAGCGGCTTATTAGGCATGTTTCATGGTTTTCTGAAGTTTAATGACCTTAGCAGGACGTTGGTAAACAAATATTAGGCTTTAATTTGGATAATTTTTTGTGGCAAAAGAGATGTCGTAAAAATCTCTTTGATACTCTTGCATTTTGGTCAGAAAACAACATAAGGACAACAAGGAAACATACAAACAACAAAAATCTCGGGAGATGGGTAGAGAATTTTGGATTCGGTCGTCATTGACACCAGCAGGCCCGCCACATCCCATCTCGGGCCCTGGTACCAATTTTCTGGCCCGGGCCCCTAGCACAGGGGAGGGGGGTGGGGTCCGGGGGGCCTCCCCCGGGAAATTTTTGAAATTTTAAATCTATTTGGACGCATTATGAAGCTGTTATGATGGAGATTTTCCATCAATTTCTGCAGAATAATTACGCCTTTTTGTTTACATTCAGCTCCAAAAACTTTCGAATTGTTGCATTCAAAACATCTATAAATTTTTTTTTGAGGGGGCAGATGATAATTTTCAATTCTATGGAGAGCCGGACCCCCCTGAACTCCCCTTCTATGGCAAGGGAGTTAAGCCACTGAAGTCGAGGATGCCCAGAAAGGAGCCTCTTAGCATCCGACAACGGAAGAAAATGAAACACAGTTACTAAAAATATCATTCTACATATACTCAAAATCTTGAAAATCTCTAAAAAAGTAAGAAAAATTTTATAGTGCCCTAGCGTGTCTTTGAAACTTTATTCACCTTTTGCGGAATTTTTAGGGTAATTTTTTCACTTTTCCCTACGAGACAAGGGTTACACATGAATTCGTAGTGGTTTGTCACCTGCGTCACGGGCCCCTCCAGGGCCCGGGCCCTGGTACCAAGGACCCAGTATCCCCCCCCCCTTGTGGCGGGCCTGGACACCAGCATGAAAACCAAATGTTGCAGGCGCACTGTCGCGCAGAGAGAATTTCGTTTTGTTGCAACGGAGTTTGGCAGTAAGTTATAAACTTCAACCAACTTTATCAGCTTCGTCTTTTGGTTTTCAGAACCATGCCAATTACAACATTTATAGGTGGGGGTGTTTGACGACCGGTTAAAAGCAATAATTCATAATTGGCGAACTTATACTCTCTAATAAAGCTGGTAGGCATCACAGATATCCATGACGGTGCTAATTTTTGCCTTCAGACGGTTGCACCCCTCCACCCAATTTTGGCTGGGAACAGCGAAAAAGTCACCTCGTGCAACCTACCGTTCTCCATGCAGTTCGTAGTTGCACTGTTTTCTCGGTCTGCTCACTTTGGCTCCGAGCGACCGGTTTATCAATTGTTTGAACCGGTTCGGATAACAAATAGAGTGTCAATCGGTCATGAACTGTTGGCACGGCGAGGGTGTTCTGTCGGACGAGTAAACGATAGAGCTAACTAGTCATTAGCGTCAGTGAGGCCCAGGCTTCATTATCTTGACAGCCCGTCTCGATTGAGACCTCAGATTACCGGATAAGAAGGCGCTTAAGCGGCCAGATTGACTTTTCTCGTTGCGGATCAAAGTTATTTCAAATGGAAGTACGAAACGTTTAGCGAGCCACTCCACTTTTAAACCTCATGGCAATGTTCCATTTCAGTTGAGTGAACGAGCTTTAATTTTTTCACCATAA